ATGAGGAAATGTGTTGGCTAAAATGGGAAATTTTTTCCCACCCAAATCAGAAATTTGCAAATTTAGACCTTGAAATTCTAGGTGCCTGGTGGCTATTTAAAAGAAAATATTAGTTATCAAGAAGTTATGGTCAACTATTTTGAAGTTGATCACTTTTGTGTGTTATTTTCTATAGAAACAAATGTTATTAGATTTTCTTAGAAGGATCAGCTGATTGGCTAAATTTTGTAAGTACTTTGGAACAGAAAAGTGTTCTTTGTTTTATATTGGGAAAACGTGGACTCTTAGAGATCAGCTGAAAGTATTCACTGAGGGCTAGATTTTCTGCAGGGCTCATTGCTGTCTTCATATTAGTTGTATGCTAACTTCCACTGGAAAAAGCGCAAAGGAGGATATTTCTGAAAATCTCATTTAGAGTATTTGATTTCTCAAAGCTCCATTCACCTGCACAGTGATAGTACAGCTGATAATGTAGTAAAATACTGGAGTAAGCCTGACTTCCTTTTGCTTCCAGTTACTTGAGACTAGCCTAATCTAATGATCAGCTATCCTAGTGATTAGATAAACTGCAAAAATATGGAAAGATTTCCTGAATATTATTACTCCGTGTGAGGTGAAAAGGGTAAATACATGGAGTAGGGCTGTGTTTTATTCATTTTTAGTATTAATTCATTATTTTTCTTCTCATACACGTACCATTTGCTTATGAAACTCCAGTGTTAGGTGAAACACAGAGAGGAGAGTATCTGGCTTGCATGATGGGATGTAACTGCATTATTTCCATGCATGACTGTTTATGAATCAGTATTTCTAGTTCAGTGGTTCCCACTCTTTATTCTTAGCAAGGGTAGAATATCTACTGCAGAAGCCAGCAATCTCTTGTATATTCCACAAGCAAATTATTCTCCCAGAAGTTCCAAAATAATTCCCTTTGCTCTATGAGAGCAAGAATCTGAGAGATGAATTGTCCTTTAGCTGTGAAGACAGTTTGCAATGCATCTGTCTTCCTCACTTTGTAGTGGTCTGTATTTACCCTAGCATAAAGGACTTCTCATGCTAGAACTCCACTTTGAAGATAAAAGTTTGAGGAAAACTTTTATCCCATCACAAGGGAGAGGATGCAATGGCATGCAAGACAAGAAATGGCAATGCATTCAAAGCAATCAGAAAAAAATACTCTGCATTTTTATCAGTATTTTTGGAGTGTGTTTCTCCCTTGCGATTTCTGGAAGTGTACTGGAAATCAGAAATCCTGTTTTCCTGTGGGAAAGCCAAATGATGTGAAACCACTGTCCCAAAGAAAGGAAAAGCAGCTAATATCAATAGGTGGATTCTGGAAGACAAGCAGCAGTACATGAACTTGTAGATGGGAACCACTGTCCTAGCCACCTCATAAAGGATGATGTGATTTGCGCATGCTTCATACTCTGAGACTGAGCCATGCGCATGCTGTTTTAATGATGGGGATTGTGTCATGAGAACAAGTGTTTCCTAAGTATTTTTAAAAATCACTATGTAAGCAAAAACCCCAGCAGACCCAGATTTCATCTCCTGGAAATGAGAATACATGAGAATACAATCCGCTTTTTCCATGATGACAGATAGCCATTTGTCTGGAAAGAAGTTTGTTAGTTTTTGGGTTTTGTTTAATATACAACATATTGTATTTTCCATGTGAAGCTAAAGATTGATTTTCTGAGTATTCTCCTGCTCTGGCTGCCTACAAATGAGCGCAATTGTCTACATTTATTGTGTAAAAATCCTGTTATAAATGAATGTTACTTTAAGGGTTAATAATCAGCATTAAATTAATGAGAAAGGCTTCAGGTCACATAACTTCAGCTTAGGCTAGAGATCTGCATTTTAAATTAATTCTCACCTAGATCTCCCTGTAATTAGTAATAACAGACAGATTTCTCCATCTGGAAAGTCATTCCAAAGTGAAACAGTTCTCTCGGCAGGTTGCTAACTTCCCACAGAGCATAAAAAGGAGTCTAAAGATCAATCTTAGGCATGAATTTAAAGAGTTAAAACAGATTGGTTAAATTCTAAACCTGAGGTGCCTGAGCAACAGTCTTGAGACAATAATTTGTTTATGAACTGGCACTTATCAATGGGAAAAGTTAACTCTGGAAAGGCAATTTAGGAATGGTTTATGTTTATATTAGCTACTTAAAAAAAAAAAGAAAAAAAGAGGGTAACTATATATGCAGTGGAGAATATCATAGCAAATAAGTAGCCTTTTGTGCTGAATGCAGAGGACTATTTTGATCTATGAGTAGGTTATGAAGTCTTGATCACTGCTGTTCTGAGGTGGGTCCACGAAAGAAATTTCTGTCCCTGAACTGAAAAAAAATAAAAAAAATCTCTCCAGTATATGTTTTTTTCTATATATATACATAAGAGCTTGAATAAAGTTCCCAGGGATGCCTTGAAATAAAGACATCTGTCTTGCTAAGCACCGCTGATCTCAGACATGGCCTCTGAGGAAACAGATTCAGTGACAGTAATGCAGAAAAGAGACCACAGACTTCACTATCTTAATAGATAGCAAATCACTTGCTCATATCCTATACTCATACTATACATTAGTTTAGCCTTTGGAGCACTGTATCAGATCAGTCAGATCCAGAGTCCAGCCCAGAACTAAACACTATGGAATTAATTTTTAAAATAATTCCCAAGGCTGAACATGAAACTACCCTACACATTTTGTGCTAATTTACCACAGATGTCAAAAAGTAATATTATTTTGCTATAAACAGAAAACTATTCCTTGATTTTTTTCTGTGCATATTTGTTTGTACTTTGTACATTTTCCCCTAAAGCTATTAATACATGAAGGCAAAATCTGGGTAATTATTGCAATTCGCTAAGACCATTCTCATTCTTCTCTCAGGTCTGTGCTTTTATCTCCTCAAATCATTGACCTCAGCCCTGGCACTGCTGATACATCAGGATTAGCTGTGTGTTTCCATACTCACACAAGTCCTTCTTAGTTTTGCCACTTCCACACTTGCACACACCTATACACTTAATATACACGTCTGAATTTAATAGGCAGCGGAAATTGCATTCATAAGTATTGCAGTACTGTCAACAACAAAATTCAGAAAGTCTGAGAAAACATTCTACACAAATGTTTGTACTTCAGTCTTTTGAGACAGGGGTATTTCACAGAATCACAGAATTGCAGGAGTTAGAAGGGATCTCTGGAGATCATCTAGTCCAGCTCCCCCTTCTGGGTCAAAAGAATTATTAATATGAATCTGATAGTAAAGATGAGGACTCCAGTAATTCATATTGAAAAACAAACAAACAAACAAAAAACCCTAAGTGCAGCAACTGTAACCTGCAATGCCCAAATAAATTAAGAACTCTGTATGCAGTAAGTTGCAGTATTACTAATAGACTCAGCACTCCTTTGAAAGCTGCTGTTTCTTTTAGATCTATTAAATTGCTATTTTAAGAACATTATTCCACATACTTCTGCTGTGGTGGGATACTGCCATAGGCAGAGCTCTGAGGTGGAAATAGCTTCTTCTGTCAAAGAGGTGTATTGTTGATACCAGAGATCCACAACTTCCAAAAACATTGCTAGAACACACAAAAAATCCATCTGACCAAGATGATAACTCCTTAAACAGAGAATAAATAGTCTTGTGAGTGAGATTCTCCAATCACAACGTCTGCACAGAAGTAATTAGCTCTGACCACTGTGTCCTTCCGGGGTGGATCCTCTCCATCCTTGCTCTTCCACACCAGTATGTTCACTGGCTTCAGCTGAACACTGTGCACGAACACCTCTCTGAATACCAATAAAATCTCATTATCCTAGCCATCAGTTTTTCCTTCAGCTTTGCTCCCTTCTGTGGCTCTCATAAACATGTCAGCTGCTGTGTTTTTTTCTCTACTCCACTGAACCCTCTTGCCCTACTCTCCCGTGTAGATTTGCCTCTTGGCCACATGCACACAATTCACCTCTTCCCAGAGCTGTCCCCCATTGCACTGTTGAATCGGAGTAAGGGGGAGTCTTTCTTCTTGTGACTTAGCCCCACATTAACATTTTTTATCAAATATTCAAAACAAGATATTTTTAGCAGCAAAAGAAACAAGAAAATCAAACATTTATACCACCTATCATCTTCAAATTGTTCAGAGCATATTCAAGTTGATACTCTAAGTAGCAAATTCTTTTATTCTGCTGTTTTCAGTGGTAAATTACTTTTAAGACTGTTATGGTCATTAGGCTATGAGAAAGGTTACTGATGCCAGTGAGATGGCAGGTAGATGCAATCCTAGCTATACATTGTCACTGATGTACATTATTCTAAAAGAGGACAGTGCAAGAAATCATGAGAGCAACAAAATAAGTCATTTTACCACAATTTGAATAGAACACTTAAATTTCTAGAATAATGAATCTAGAAATCTCTAGAAATTGAATCATGGAGAGAACTGGGTGGCCTGCCCTACCAGGTAGCAAGTAATTGCTTGGCAATGCCTTTCCAGTGTCTTGCTGACAATTTATTTGGTTCACAGCACATTTGACCTTTCTTCTCCTCTTGACTATGCACATGACTTATTCATTTAATAGTTTGCCGTTGATGCAGTAGTTCGAGAAAGCACTGATGAGGGAAGGCCAAGCATCCTTGCCTTTAGATAATATAACTGCCTAAGTAATAATGTTCTTTTCTTAATAACAAATCTAATGCTTCAGACGTGGTACTGGAGCTGAAGCATTGTGATGTATTACATAAAGAGGATAGTAAGACCCTCTGGTAACATTTTCAACATACAATAAAAAAAATTCTCATAAAAATCAGCTAATTATATGTGAAGCCTTGCTGTTGCTTGCAAAGACATTGATGTATTATGGTAGCCCCAGCAGTGTCCTTGTGTACAAAACATTTATTTAGCCTCTTCTATATTTAAAGCATCATGAAAACAAGTTTAAAGTGTACAAAGGAGGAAAATGATTACTTTTGCTTATTTTGTAGCCAAAAGCTGGGTCTCTTGGATCGGGTTCGTGGTACCAATACTAAAGGAAAGCTATTTACCCCTCTGAATGTAGATGCCATTGAAGAAAGTCCTTCAAAAGAGCCTAAGAATGTTGTCTTGAATAATAAGGAGCGTTTTCGCACTGCATTCCGAATGAAAGCGTACGCTTTTTGGCAAAGCTCAGAAGGTAGCCCATCTGTGTTGATTTCTTTCTATCCATCCCCTTTTCTCCCCATTTTACTTTCTTCCTCTGCATCTTCTGTTCAAGGTTTTCAACTTTCTGGAACAAGCATTGCCATCTCCTGGTTTTATGTGGCACATTTGGGGAAGCTCCAGGAAACAAATGCTGGTGTCCAGGCAACACAGTGCTCGAAATAAGGCAATGGTCCTCCAAAAAACAACAATTGATATTGGATTTGGCCAGTGATGTAATCAACCTATTTGAACTGGGGCAATAGGGCACATTGGGCAGTGAATCTGTATCTCCCAAAAGCACTTGCTATCATGGCTTTGCCTATTAGCAGGGATTATATGCTAAGGTAGCTCCCTTTTTGGACTGCATCCAGACTTGTGACGTGGTATCCCATAAATATCTACTCACTGCAAACCCTTTAAACCTTGTTTTATAGAGTAAACTGATGTTTCCCTTCCACTCACCATAGGAAAGCTACCCCCTAGCATTTCCATTTATGGGTGTCTGTGCAATAAGACAGGATGTTTTTCCTCAGCTTCCCTCAACACATTTTTCTGCTGTTGTCTGTTGTGTTGGCATGTTTTCTCAATGGCAGTTTTTCCTTCATTGTGCCAGCTGGCCTCAGAACATATATCCATACTACCATGGATATAGTTTGGGTTTCCTCTCTGGGGACTTGATTATCCTCCACCTGAAATTACATGAGATCAGAGATGTGGAAATGGGAATATTTGGCCTGTATCTTCTATAGAAGTTCTATCCCAGAAGGATTATGAAATCTCTTTCAAGAGCTGACTGGAGTAAGAGAAACCTGCAAAAGATGTTCTTTTACTAAATTACACTTGTGTTCACACATCTTTTTATGGCCTACCTTGCAGATGCAGGAACGGGGGAACCTGGGGGAGAAGAGAGAGGCGACAGTAGTGACTTCCTTATGGAAGATATGATTCCCACATTCAAGACAGCCATCAGAGCTGTCAGGTAAATGCCTTTAACTCTGCAGTTTTTGAGTGTTTGTGCTTTAGGAAATCTCTTGTTGCTGTTCTTGTTTTTTATGAATGCAATAAACTGGACAACTGTAGATAACATCAGGCAAATCCTATTCAAAGTCCTCTTTAAAATATGCAGAAAGGAAAATGTTTTACAGTTACATTTATTGGGCCATTTTTTTTCAAGACCATCCACAAACGTATTTATTATAAAACAAAATATTATACACCTTATCATTAAAATATACTATAATTATAGTATCCTGCTCAACTTACTGTAGCATTCATGTAAAGCTGAAATTTTAGTTAACCAACAAAGCCTCAACTGACATAAATATTCTTTATTTATATTTGTATGAGTCTGCAATATATTTTGTTGTCTGTCATGGTTTAATAGATGCTGAGATCTCCATCTGATCAGTCTTCAGCCCATGGCTTGTGTCATTTCTAGTTTTGCATCACATGAAATATTCCCTTAGCTATAACAACTATGCTATAACAACTTGTGTTGGTAGATTATAGCTAAAGACCTATACAAGATTTATCTTTTTCACCTCCAGAATGAACTTAATTTTTAATAACCAGGCAATGGCTGAGAAACGAAAATAGTATACAGATGGTATTTCTTTCACAAAATGCAATTGTCTGTAAGTCCAGTTTGCTCTCATCAGAACTTCCATAACAATTTAGTGCTCTGAATTCAATACTTTATTTTCTTCAATATGAGTATGATGTCTGTTTTCATTTTATCATTTTTATCAATTACTTACCCAAAACTGATTTATCTGACTAATATATACAAATAAAATAAAAATTAATACTGTTTCCGTCCTGCTGGAAGCTTTTCCATCCTTGCTCCCTCTATAATTTCCCCCCTTTTTTCCTCCTGATACCTGCTTGGTTTCAAACGCCGGCTTTACATCTGCCCTATGTTGTACACTTCCATAATGCATTTTTGCAAAACTTCCTCTCCAATATCCTGTGCAAATCTAATTGATTTCATGTAATTTTCCTTTAAACTCAATCATAAGCCAAGATTTTTTTCCTCCCTTTTTTTTTTTCCTTTATACAGTTTATCCAGACCTTGAAGGCTAATAGAAGGCAATTCATTCAGACAAGACCTCTTAATAGGTTTCCAGAGTCATAATCAAGAATTTAAACTGAAATCACTAATAGTGGGTTCCCTATTTTAAATAGAGTTTGGATGTTTTCATACATATTTTGGCTACAATAATCAAGTTTCAAGCTTTGAAAACTCAAACAGTGGGAGATTTACAAGTAACAGAGTTACATAGTTAGATTTCAAGCCTAAGAAGTTAAGATTTTAAGAAGTTAAATGATATTTCATTTATGTTTATTACCTGTTTGTTTAACATTCTAAGATACAAATGTGAGCAGATGAATAAACAGGAAAGCATTTTAGAAAAGGATGTAAAGCAGTTTTCAAGCTCTCTTGTCAGCTTTACATCTATGATGCTATTATTACTAGGATATTTAATACTACTACTACTAATAGTAATGATAATAATAATGATGCTGCATAATAATAACAATGCCACATCTATAACAAAACAATAATGTTACACTGATAATTTTTCAAGGATACTTTTGGTATTTGTAACACTTTCTCCCTTTAGTTGCAAATTCAGTTGCTGACTACTGAACTTTCACATTCCTAATGAATTAGCATTTCCTCTTCAAAACTTTCCCAGGTACAAAATGAAAACCAAGCTGATAATGATTCAGCATTGTACAGACCGTAAACTTCATACTAAGTTGAACCATGCCTTCAGCTTCAAAATCTCCTGTTATTTGTGATCTTTGAGTTCCCCATCTAAATGTATTGCTTTGAACCATTTCTAATTACTAAGATAATACTAAAAAAGACATGTGTATATAACTATTTTAAGGAAAATCTATTCTATTAGTTATGAAAATCAACTGTTTTCAAACAGTGGTATGACATCCAGAGTCTTTACCAAATATTCAGTGAAGATGCAAATGGTCATTTTGGAATTTATACAGAAGCTTAGTAATGTTTTCTTTTATTACACAGAATACTACAGTTTCGTCTCTATAAAAAAAAATTCAAGGAGACTTTGAGGCCTTACGATGTAAAGGATGTGATAGAGCAATACTCAGCAGGGCATCTTGATATGCTTTCCAGAATAAAGTATCTTCAGGCAAGGTAAGAATCCTCTGGGAAGTGGGGAAAATGTAGAACTGTGCTGGAAAAAGTGTAGTTGGTCTGTATGTGTATAAGGCCACCCAGAAGCTCTCTGATCAGTGTAGCTGATCTATCAGAAAGCCTCTTCCCCAAAAAGTAAAGGTGAGTGAGCAGTTAGCTGGGGAAGCTGCAGCAGAAGTGAGCACTGGCTCACATGTAGAATGCCATAATCAAAAATTTTCTTGACTACTGGCTCACTTGATAATAGTGAAATTTTCCCCTTCTCCCCTTTTTGCAGATGATCAATAAAAGCTGTAGTTGCACTACACAGAGTTTTCCTTTGGGCTGGTTTATCTGTAGATCTGTGCACAGTGAAATAGCTAATACAAGTGCAAAAACACATTAGCGCAAAAGGTTTTAAATCTCTTCGAGTGTAAATTAATGTAAATGAAAATATGTTTTGAGCTCAGAAAGTTGAGGAGAGCTCACGATCTCAGAAATCTGTGTCTGCAGCATGGTCTACAAGCCCTGTGCTGGAGGTCATTCCTCTAACTTAGACTGAGCTATTGCATGATTTTCAGCAGCAGGGGATCTCTCACGGATGCTTAACTGCTGGTATTTGCAGAGGTGCTGATGTGCTTATGCCTGTCTCACATAGTATTTATGGCAGTGCTCTGTGGGGTGAAGACTCATCCCTGGTGAGCCCAGGTAAAAATCACAGCACGGCCTTAGCAATGTGGTGTTCAGCTCAGCAGTGTAAAGAAACACCAGTTGTGGAAGTCAAGTTTTGTGAGATTCCTCTCATAGTTAATGGAGAGCTAGTCAATGTAAACAACGGTGTTTGTGACACAGCTCATTCCTCCTTAAACCAGATTTGATCAGATGAATATTCCTTACTATCTCCAAAACTTTCACCTCTGAGTTGACTAAATCTCCATTCGCTATTTCCAGACAAAACTGAGTGAGTACAGCTTATTGTGTCTAAGAATAATTTGATGCCAAAGGAATTTGATGGGGCACTGACGGATAGTCCAGCAGTACTTCAGTGCCTAGGAAATATCTAATTTGCTTTTTCAAGTTTTGTCTTGACTTTTTTAAGCTCTATCTTCAAAACTCCTTTTTGAGTCTTTGCTGTGTGCTGCAGAGATGCATAGTAGTTTCTTTCATGTTCTAACATGCTATGTTAGCATTTAGAGGTGGTCTTATGCAGTTGCACTTTTCTTTTTTTTCAGAGTAGATATGATTTTTACACCTGGACCTCCATCTACTCCCAAGCATAAGAAATCCCAAAAGGGAGGAGCTTTTTCTTACCCTTCACAACAGTCTCCCAGGTGAAATTATTCTTAGTATTTTGCACAGACCAAAACAAGAATATAATGTTCACTCATACCAAAAAGCATGCACTTCATTCATACAGCTAGAAAAATGTTATACTAACGATACTATATTAAAGATAGGTTGCTACAAGATGCTTTAGTGTGAATGTTGAAGAAGACTAGCTTCCCTTAGGACAATGTATAATGGAAATATAATCTTATTGGCTTCTTAATTGCCTGGCTCAGCTTCTCTGTGTTTTGTAAATATGATTTTATATGAAATATGAACATGCGACTGCTAAAGTACTGAATTTTTAGCATTCAATGAATGAAACCAGTTAAAAACCTTTAAGAAATTGCCAGCAGTTTTAAGTAAGCCAGATATCATCTTGAAGTGAAAAAAAAGTTTTATTATAATCCTCACCAAAAGGCAAGCACAGAATTTCAACAATTCTGCTTTAAAATCAATGATTAGAAGGAGTTACTGAAAATGAATTGCAAGAACAGGTTTCTGGGAGTGAAAATTACACATTGTATTGTATTGCAGTGATCCTGGTAGCAATAATTCTATAATAAATGACACTTTTTTCTGTTATTTGCATCTATCCATCTGTCACTAAATACCCATGAAGAACCACACAAAACTATCAACAATCTGTCCCCAAAGCTGTTACAGTTTCTCAGGACAAAAGTAATCTTACAGAAAATAAATTAACTTGGGTTTATCTGGTTTATCCCACGCAGTAAAAAATCTGAAAATACGTAAATACAAAGGCAGAGCCCTACACATATGGAAGAAGCAATGATCATTTGGGGAACAAAGCAGATTGCAAAATTTGCATGAGCCCTGTCCGTAGTAACCCAACCTACAAAATTTGACATGTTTTGGTTATAGCTTCTGCTTTAAGATATTATTCACAGCTGTGAATTTCATCAGAAAGGGAAGACAAGAGCTGAATCTGTTAAAACGAAAGTTTCAGGGAATGTCTTTTCTAAGTCATGTTCTTTAGATATTGCCATAGATTATGGAAAGACATAGGTTTCTTTGAAGTTTATTTGGAACTCTTTAGATAAAGATTTATCTTGACGATGACTTTCAGATCTTACAGTGCTGTAAATCAGGGTTCCTTGTTTGAGCAGTAATCATCTCCTTACCACCTTATTCTATGTGATGTGTGAGCAGTAGGAAATTACACAGAATCACGGAATTGTAAGATTGGAAGGGACCTCTGGAGATCAAGTCCAACCTCCCTGCTAAAGCAGGTTCCCTACAGTAGGTTGCAGAGGTCTTAATACACTCTGAACAAAGCCTAGGGGCTTATTACATAGCAGAAAATTTATTCAGAAATCTATTTTAAATCTCCAGGACATGTTGTCTCTGCTTTTCCACTCTGCCATTTTCAATTTAATGGAATGGAGAAAAAAAACCACTCAACCATGAAGCTCGTATTCAAAGTCTTTAAACACAATAATTGGAAAGAATTGGACTTCAAAATAATGCTGTATGACATCTGTAGCCGTTATCTACTACCTCAACATTTTTTCACAAATCTAGAATTATTCCACCAAGTCTGAAACTAATTTCATTTTCATTTTGAGCTTTTTTGGTTTACATTTGTTTTGTCTTGATCTCTATCTTGATATTGAAAACAATATAATTTTAATCTCAAGATCAGGAGTTCATTCTTTAGAAATTCATTGAAATTGTATACAGTGATCTTTTTATCCTGTTCGTCCAATTTTTCTTCAGTGGGGCTCCAAGGAGCTGTACTGATATATCAGCAAGATGACATTTAAGTTTTCTCATATAAGATACTTACGGTGATGCAAAGAAAAACAGAATGCTAACAAAGATATTAATTCTTTATAGAAATGATCCATATGTAGCCAAAGCATCTACAGTAGATACTGAAGACCAAAGTATGATGGGCAAATTTGTTAAAGTTGAACGACAGGTATGTAATTTCACAACCATGGTGGAGAATAAGTTGATATGAATTCTATGTGATTCTTTGTCTGACCTATGCAAATTTGTACTGTTGAAGATCAAGATTCATACAGGTCTTGCATTAATGATCACAGAATTATGTGATTAGTTTTCTGTTAAATAATTTAATTACTTGGGAAGTATGCATTTTGAGACCTGTTGAATGAATATAATTATGTATGGTGGCAGACCATAACGATATGGTTTAGGTGAGACTTTTTCATACCTTTAAACTTCAATCTATGCATGGTATTTTGCCATGAGTACACCCTTCTTTTGGAGGGTTTGACACTTAAAAGGATGGCTTACTCAGGTATTTTGAGCCCTCTTTATGCATACTAGCCTCTTGCTTAACAACACTCATATTTTTAAAATAACTAAGATGGAGTCAAGTGGCACTGACTCATGTCAATTCCTATCATGGAAGGTAAACGGTCAGGCACAACATACGATCAAAGACAAAGGGAAGTAGTAGTACTGATATGTAACCCTGATGTTGTGGGACTGTTAAGAGTTAGTAGATTTGTATGCAAAGGTAACTTCATTTGTCACATTTTGGTAATATCTTTTTACTGTATGCTATCAAGACTTTGGTCATAATGCTGTAAACTGTCACTGAATAGTGGATTGCCAAATATGCAGCAATGCTAAAAAAAATCTGACACAGTTCATAGTGACTGATCTTAATTTGAGGCAATTAGTGGATGACCTGGCTCCCACTGCAGTCCAGCTTCCAAGGCAAAGTCATTATCTTATAGTTGCCTTCATGACCAATAAAGGTGGCAACAGAATGGGGGCAGTGCACCTATGGAAGCATTGGCTGGTTCATTGAAGAACTGACTTGAAATGATATGATAAAACTGGTATTTTTCAGGTAAATGACATGGGGAAGAAATTGGATTTTCTTGTTGATATGCATATGCATCATATGGAACAGTTGCAAATACAAGTTGCTGAGATAAGTCCATTGAAAGAAACTGCTTCTCCTGCAAAGGAAAAGAGAGAAGAAAACAAGTATTCTGAATTAAAAACAGTGATCTACAAATACACTGATCAGTGTACTCATGAAACTCCTTACAACTTCCAGCAAGTTCCAGTCAACAAAGTCAGTCCTTATGGTTTCTCAGCGCATGGCCACATGACTCATTCACAGCCTCTTTCAACAGGTGGGCAAAACTCTGGCAAACTGCAAGCCACACCTTCCTCAACATCATATGCAGAAAGGCCAACAGTTCTGCCTATATTTACATTAATGGACTCCCAGGTTAGCTACCACTCCCAAGGAGACATGCAAAGCCCTTACTCAGATAAAGTGTCTCCAAGGCAGAGAAGGAGCTTGACAAGAGACAGCGATACCCCATTGTCCCTTCTCTCCGTCAACCATGAGGAACTTGAGCGCTCCCCAAGTGGCTTCAGTATCTCCCAAGACAGAGATGATTTCCCATTTGGCCCCAATGGGGGATCTGCGTGGATGAGAGAGAAACGCTACCTAGCAGAGGGGGAAACAGACACAGACACCGACCCTTTTACACCAAGTGGCTCCATGCCTTTGTCTTCAACAGGGGATGGAATTTCAGATTCAATATGGACCCCTTCAAATAAGCCAGTTTAGAAGTGCGTGGGGGGGTAGTCACTGGCTGACTTCTCCGTGTAATGTAAGCATACTTTGTATATCTCACTTACTCTGCACCCAAAGCTTACTAGTTCAAAACACCAATGGCTGCATAAGATGCATGTGATATTAGTGGTAGTCATTCTGCACCATTTCATACAATTTACTAATGCAGTTTTTTTCATGCTACCAAAACTAAGGAGCTTAGTTTTGAGCATGGTTTGCATGACTTTACCCTATATAAATGGTACAGCTGATTTCTTCTGTGATTCATACTATCTGATATTCTTCAATACAACCAACAATGGTGGATTGGTAACAGCCAAGATATGGTCCTTGCTACACTTTGTAAACAGAGCAGCAAAGTCAAATTAGTTTCAGGAGCACTATCCTTTTGTGGAAATAAAAAGTCTGAATCCATTTTCCTATTTAAGTAACTCAATCTCTATCCTATCTAGCCAAAAGCATATAATATTCAAAGCAGGGAAAAAGCTGTCAAAGTAAACGACCTTACTGAAATAGTTTTGTAAACTAAATGCTTCTCATGTGATCTATTATATAACTACCTATGAAATACAATGCTAAATTGAAGTTAGGGGTAGAATTAAAAATGATGAAAGCCACCAACTGAGATCAGTTTTGGATATTTAATTACTGCATAAATTCCTCAAACTACTTTGAAAATTACCACTAGTGATTATAAAATTGCTGGAAATATGATTACAATCCTATTTTGTAGAAAAACTTTTGCTAAGTCTATTTGTTTCTTACAGGGCCAAGGTTTCTCTCTGTTCCAAAAAAAAAAGAAAAAAAGAAAAAAAGAAAAAAAGAAAAAAAAAAAAGCTGTTCATTGCAGAGAAGCTCAGGTTTCTACTCTCCACTCTTTTACTGAGTTATGTAGTGTATGTAGTGTTAAGTTCCATAATACAAATGTTCTTCAGTTTGCCAGTGTGTTTATTTGGAGTTGTAGTTACATAAATACAGGTTGTGAGGCTCAATTCACTATTATTTGTGAAGTGCTTTAAGCTTCTCAGATCTGCAGAGTAACACTTTTCTGTTCCCTGGGAGCTCCACAGTGCAAGGAGATGTGTGTCTGGCTTACAGTTTCTTTTTGAAATGGACAGCTGCAAATCCATGTATGGCAGTCATATTTAACTTCAGTGTACAAAGAAATAAATGACATTATTTTGTCCTGTCCCTGAGCAACAGAGGTATAAGTTTACTCCTTAGGCCTCAGCCAAACAATTCCTGTGCAAATTGGAAACTGTGTAGAGAGAGCAGGAAAACAATAGAATCCACTGGGCACAGGGCAGAAATGAATCTGAGATCTCACCACCACAGTGGGAATGTAGTTTCTATACAGCTAGTGAAACACAGCCTATCCAAATATCCTATGCAGAATCTCAATCCAAGTGTCAATGAAATAGCATCCATTTGATGTCAATTTGAATTCCTATGCATTCTTTACAGCAGGTGGAAAATTAATCTGCACAGTGAGTGAGCACAGGGTACAAGAAACATGTCACAGACACCCACAGACAGTAGATGAAGATCTCACTTCCACCCCATCATCCAAGGTGCAGCTTCTGCCATAGCTCCTGTTCCACCTCCTGCTAAGAATGACTTCTGCCTCTCCAGACAGCTAATGTCTCTACCACCAATGAAGGCATAAGGATATGGCTAGGGAGGATGTTAGAAAGTGAATTTTCTGTCATGGCTGTACAGCTAAGCATTGTTGGCCATGCAGTTAGAGGACAAGAAGAGATACCCTACAGGTATTCCTGTGTATGTCTCTAACTGGGAATTGCACAGGCCTGGATAGAGTGTACCTTGTTGGTAGGGGATACCTTGTTGAGTTTTGCCCACTTTGTCAGTAACTCTATGTTTGTTGATTCTTCAGAGTTGTTGACATCTCATGATAATCATTCCATGTGGGGAACTTCTATTCTGTTCCAGGTATTGTGCAGGCATTGTCTTAATCTTCATTGTTTACTTAAGAGCTACCTAAAAAAAATAGGATCTTCTTACTCTAATATTTCATCTGTTTCATCAACTAAAATCATGATACAGCCTTCTTGGCCGGATCTTCAGGGAGAAGAAATTCTTGTAATTAGTTGTGTAAATAAATCACACCAATTACAGCCTTGAAGACTGAGCTGAGGTACAATTTTAGTAGTTACTTATTTGACAAAGTAGCTGTTCATCTGAAAGACAGTCTCTGTAGCAGTTTCATGGCTAAAATCAATGAGAACAAAACTAGCTGCAAAATTGTAATTTATTGTAATTTGGCACGTTGAGAAAAATTATTTGACTATCAATGATTCTTGGAAACACCTATATTGTAGCTACTGCAGCCTTTTCAATACAGTAGTATTTATCAGTGACCTCCTGAGATAAATGAAAAAGAATGAAAACATCTTAATATTGCTAGACTTCTGATGTTGCTTGATTTTTCTAGTGCATCAAGTGCTGGGCACTCCCACTGATTTCAGTGAAGATTCTTAAAATGTTTTATAGATCTGAGCAATCAAAAATCAAGGCAGTCCACAAACAAGGGCAATCTGAGAATTTTTTTTTTGTGAATGTCTTTATTATGCAGTTATGCATAAATATGCTGTTACGTACTTCTCTGCCCAATTTGCCTCCAATTCTTCAGTTCAAGTTTCTAATCTCTCTCATGCCAGGTCATACAAAGGTAATCTTTTCTCAGTATTAAGTCTGGCTGAAAATCCATAAATCGACTCATTGTAAAGGTATATTAATTCCAAGAGAGAATCCAAGGAGTGGCAGATGCTTGGATCAGTCTTATCTGCATACTAAAGTGCAGCCCAAGGAAAGCAGGATTTGGGCTTTGCTACATTCTGTGTGCATAGCAGCTGAACAGCTTTAAGTTAGCATTCGCTGTAGGTTGTAAGCACCATTTTATCATATGTAGATTAAAAACACAGGGTCAGGTGTCTGTAGTTACATCATGAAATATTTAATGACATATTAAGTTGCCAGTTAAGGCCTTTTAGAAGGTGCTAATGGCAAGCTCAGCAATGCCCTGTGCAGCAGACATCTCTGAATTCTCTAGAAGAGATACAAGGGGAGAGCCAAGGAGGTTCTGACAAACTTATTGTTTTTTACCCAGTGAATTAATTTCCATTGAAATCAGCCTCTGGTCAGTTCAGAAGGGTGTTCTGCTTAGCAGCTCTGTCCTCCTGCATCATCCGTATTAAAAATAGGGTGAGCATTCATTCTGCTCTCACTGCTGGCAAAGTAAATCTGTCCAGATGTCACCAACAAGGTGAAACCTGGTGATCATCTCAGATCTGGAATGTGCACAAGAGCTTCATCAGACTGCACTTCAGTTTGAGTCCAGAGAGTGCATCAACCAAGGCACGCCATTTGTGTGTCTGCCATTGTCACTGGGCACTGCGTAACATATCTGTGATGTTGACCCTGCCCACACTTAATAGGAGGGCCTGTATTTTGAAGTAAGTTTACCACAAAAAAAGGAAACACTCACAATTTCAAGTGAGAGTGGCCTCTGTGTTCATGCTGCTTTTCATATTAGAAGTGAATGTGAACAAATAACAGATTTATTCTATCATAGAATCATAGAATCCAAGGTTGGAATGGACCTACAAGATCATCTTGTCCAACCATCCTCCCATTACCATTGTTACCATTATCTTTCATTAATATGTGACATTTCAGTTTAACAGCTATTAGTTTTCTTAGACTCATATCTTTCATTGTCTTTCCATATAGTTAGCATTAAAGACTATTTACTGGAATATGCTCTTTGCTGACTCTTATTTCCTGCAAGTAATCAAGAATCCATTTCAGGCCTTGAAATTTTTTTATTAATTAGGAAGTGTGGGACTTTCCTCTGCTCTTCTTGAAGTCACTGAGAAACCTGCTCAAACTGATGCACTGGGTCAGCATGAGGTCCTAATCTGCCTTTATTTGTGAATTTCCTTGGGAAATCACTGATTGGGAAATAGTTTTTTTAGCTATTTTTTTTTTAACTCTGATTTTTCTGTCACTATAAATAAAGTTTATCTGTATGTTTTTGAAGAAGTACGTATGTTTATATTGAGTACCTCTCTTTGTTGCATTATCATCAATCAATATTCCAAAGTTTATATTCAAACCAAGAACATTTAATTATTACAGAAATGAATGTTTAGTCTAAGTACACAGTTGTAGAAGTATTTTGTGCTCCATTTAGAAAGTAAATAGTTTCAGAAAAAATCTGGTCAGGTAATGGTTGCTGTCCTTGGCTTTTCCCTGCACTGGATTAATTGGTTTGGCTCTGTCAAAATATATAGAAATTAAGCACATGGAGAGATCTATAGGATCTGTCCCTAAACTGACTTTGGATATATTTGTTCTGTTCTTATCTCTAACTTTGCTGCATTGTTACAGTTCAGAGTGGAAACAGTTTTATATCTTTCTGCTTCAAATTGTGGCCCAGCAAGGCTGCAAAATTATCACTGAACCACACATCGCTGCTGGGGCTGCTGACTCATGGCCTTCAGACAAGCATCACGACACAATCAGTTTGCAGGATCAGAGCCTAAAGTGATCAGAAAATGCAGGTTAGGGAGCAAATTCAGCCCTGCTGGGGGTCCAGGCATTTCAGGAGCTGGGTTTGTCCCACTCAGAACAAAACATGTAAGAAAGAGCTGGATCTTAATTCCTTGCACCCCACAGCCTCCTCCATTAAGCTTGAGGTGCCAAGAGCAAACCTAAATTTTCTGCAGCACCTCACGAATTTGTAATGGTATCACTTTTTGAGATACTCAACTGAATGTGGGTGTTGCCTTTTGAAGACCACTTTCAGAGGTGCAGGAGGAGAAAGGGGCCATTTTTGAGTCTGCAATTGGGCACCATGAGAATTGAGACCCTGGATAACACTATTGCTTATGATTATTTAGGCTGTAAGATTTGATCCTTCCCAACTCAGCTTTTAGCAGCTTCTGTCTGAAGTGAAGTGAAGCAAAATCCTGGAAGCGGGATCCTATCTCCATCCTGAGAATATGCTGAGACTGAAGGTTACATAGCCAACTGCATTTTGTTTTCTAGTTATGGCATCTTATTATTACTAGTATTTGTGCCTTGCTCACTGAATTTTTCTCCATGCTACAAAGATGCTTTTCAGATTCTGGCTGACAAGGGAACACAACTTTTATACAAGTGGCCTTTAGTGCTCTTTATAATATTATTTATTGTAATTTTTAAACTGTATGTGTAATTTATATTCTGGCACTGTCCAATATTTGAACAACTTTAATATGTTTATTTCAATATATTATGCAAACAATACTTCTTAACTGATTTTTTATGTTCTGTCTTTAAAACTGCACCACTTATTAATAAATAGAAATTTCAATTATGATGCGGAGTTTTTTTTTTTCCCCTTTTATTTAAAACACCCATTCAGTGAACACTGTGTCAAACGTTCACTCAGATAAGACATTGACATAAGACCTTCCATGTCGTCTAGCAAAAAATATATTTTATTTTGTTTCTACACTTAGTAGAAACACTGCACAGTAGATCACATTATGTGTGACTTCTTTGGCTTAGTGGCTGTGCATCTTGTATGCACATGTGTATAGATGTGTGGGAAAATGAAAACTATTGAAAATGCATCCAAATGAAAAGCATTAATGTGCTAAAACACAATGATGTTGGACAGAAAATACATAGCAAACATAGTAATGATGCAGAGCTGCTCT